AGAGAGAGAGAGAGAGAGAGAGAGAGAGAGAGAGAGAGAGAGAGAGAGAGAGAGAGAGAGAATAGTGGTCGGGTAACGGGCGGCTGTTGAGGAGCGCGATGACGTCATCACTTCAGGGAGGGCAGTTGGCACCTGGCAGCTCTTCGTTAGCCAGCCTGTCAGATCTCACGCCGTCTGGAACCAAAGATGAAGATGGAGGACTAGATAGAGGAGGAGAAGAGGAGGCAGCAGAAGGAGGAGAAGGAGGAGGACGAGGAGGGGAAGGAGTGGATTGCTGCGTAGGAGTGGAAGAGGAGATCGAATGTGCTCCAAAGGGAGTACGAGAAGATGTAGGCGAGGAATGTATGGCAACCGCGGCAGCAGGCGGAGGCGGAGGGGCAATGGTGGGAAGGGGGGAAGGGGGAGACTGCGCTACGTCCACGTGTCCCCCAGCAGCACCCTACTCCTCCCGTCCCTCCGACGTGGACCCGCGCGCTTCCTTGGGCAAGCTCCCCACAGATATTTTGATCAACATTTTGGCATTGCTGCCCTTCCAGGACATCGTATTCTCCGCCGCGCTTGTGTGCAGGGAGTGGCGGAAGGTGGCGCAGAGTCCGCGCTGCTGGCGCCACGTGGATCTGACAAGCTTTTGTCAGGCTACTGTGCCGCACAGGGGGACCACTTATCCGGGCAATCTGTTCAGACTGCAGTTCTCTTGCGTTCAGATCAAGGGTAGAGTCGCTGACGAGGCAGTGGAGAGGAGTGTGAGGTTGTCTCAGGGGCAGCTGCAAGTGCTGCGCGCCGAGTTTTGCACCGCGAGGGCCATTGAGGTGATAGCCAGTGCGTGTCCGTCGTTGGTGCGTCTGGAGCTGAGGGAGCTGGTGGGGGAGATCCCGATCGACGAGGCAGTGATTCAGCTGGCTGCGCGGTGCCCGCAGCTGAGTTGGCTGGTGCTCAGGCCTTTTCATCAGACGCCTGTCTGGCGCATCATGGACGGCTGCCCTGCGTCGCTGACCCACGTGGGGCTCGGCGCGCTTGCCAACAATTGCCCTTTGCTGACTCATCTCGACGTCGCGGGCTACGTGGAGCTCGCTCATGGCTCTCTGGTCTATCCCCCTGATGGCAAGATGTTCGATCGGCTGACCTACCTGAACGTGACAGGCTGTCAGCACCTGCAGGACGAGGCCATCATCCACGTGGCCAACCACTGTGGTCCCACTCTGACTCGGCTGGAGGTGGTGGGCTGTCGCCTGCTCACGGATCGCTCCTTGATCGCGATCGCTTTGGCCTGTCCCGATCTCGACTACATCGACGCCACGCTGTGCACGATGATCACAGACGGCTGCTTGCTGGTCCTGGCAAGGCACTGCAAACGACTTACCTATTTGGGCATGGCCCTGTGCGACGTGACCGACCTGGGGGTATCCAAGATCGCCTTCAGCTGCCGGGATCTGCGTAGCGTTAATCTCAGCTGGACACGTGTCACAGATGTGAGCATCATCAAGCTGCTACGGCATTGCGTCAAGCTTCGTCAGCTATTGCTCAGCCACTGCAAAGGCATTACCTCAGGAGCTTTCCACGCGTTGCTTGATCCTTTCCCCTCCTCCTCCTCCTCCACCTCCTCCCCCTCCTCCCCCTCCCCCTCGTCGTCCGTCACCTGGCTCAAGTTATCGGATTGCAAAGGACTCAGCGACTCGGCGCTCACGGCGCTGGGAAAGGGATGCCCAGCTCTGAAATCGCTGAGCTTGGCGAATTGCCCAGGCATCACCGACTCAGGAATAGCAGCGCTGGTCAAGGGATGCCCTGCTCTCACCTACTTGTCCTTAGCCAATTGTGATCAGATCACGGATGCCTCTGTCATACTGATAAGGGACTCATGCCGCGGCCTACAGACGTTGAACCTTCGAGGCTGCAAGAAGGTCAGCCCGGAGTACAGGTCAGACTCTGGATTCGCCTCGTCTTCCACTGAATCAACAGCTGCAACCTCTTCTCGTCCTTCCACGCCCGCATTCTTTGGCCACAGCTCTCAAACGCTTCGAAGTCCGTGACCACAATCGACCCTCAGAGGGTGTGCGTGTCTGTGTGTGTGTGTGTGTGTGTG